AAAACCAGCTGCCAACAGCCACAGAGAGCTTCCAAAGGAGCCTCCCCACTTGAGCGCCAGATTACAACGCCAGTGAAGGGCACATTGCTAACAGCAGACAGCCCAAGAAACAAGTCCATACTCTCCAAGGCAGTGCTGCTTCTGACTGGGATTCACTGTTAATTTTCTCCATAGTAGCTTGGATGTGGCTATGTTCTGGATTCCTGCCAGAAGCAGTGTTGACAACACAGGGATGGTTTAGCTACTGCTGAGCAGTGCATAGACAGCAACAAGGCCTGTTCTGCTCCTCACACTGGCTATCTGTGTGAGCTCACTGGAGCTGCACAAGGAGTTAGGAGGGGACAATGCTGCAACAGCTGCCCCCAGGTGTATTCCAGACCACAGGGCGGACGTCATGCTCAAGCAGTAAAACTGGGAGGGGAGAAGGAGGAAAGGGAAACACTCAACTGCCTTACGGCATTTGGCTTCCCAAATAACAGTTAAGCATGATGGAGCCTGGAGACGGCTCTAAACACCTGCCTGCCAGTGGAAGCAGTGAATGAATGCCCCACTTTGCTTTGCTTGCACACATGCCTTTTGCTTTACTTATTAAATTGTCATTATCTCAACCCATGGGTTTTCTTACTTTTACCTTCCAGGATCATCTCTTTCATCCCATTGTGAGGCAGTGACTGTGTGACCATGTGGCACATAGGGGTTGAATAACTGCAAAGGCTGGGGAGCTTCCCACTTAAACACTTAGAAAATTCAAAATACTGTCAGGAAAAGCGGCCCCTTCTCCCACTGCAGCACAAACTCCACATAAGGCAGTGAAATGAGAGCATTTTTACAGCTCAATTTACTCTCCCAGGCCAATACCCAGCATGGGAAAGTGCAGCAGCAGCTTTCAAGTGACCACTTTCAGTGTCTGTGAAAGCAGGCAGGAAATGAGGAGCTCCCAAGATCTGAATTTAGGGTTTGATCTTAACTCGCTGCTGCTGCTGCCACCAGACTGCAGGTTGCTTTGGCAGCTTTACCATGCTCACCTGCTGAAGTGGCCATACCGGATTTTAAACTTGTACACACGCCTCCCTGCGTGAAGAAACCTTGTTTCAGGTAACGGACAGGTAAATGGTTTCAATGGCATCTTCCTCCCTGAATGCCAGCCTAGGGAAGGAGGAGAGTCAAAGGGGAATTACTAAATCTTCCCCAGCTCTCTCCTGTCACACAACAAAACACGAAAGCAGCTGTCGCCCTAGAGGAAACGTGCAGAGCGAGCACCCCTCCTGCAGCACCTCCCTCCAGCCCAACACCACCGGGCCGTGCGGGCCGATGGAACCGGGTGTCTGCAGCACGAGCAGCGGACAGGCTGGAGCGGACGCCGCTCTGCCCTGAACGGTGCTCCCGGCGGCCCTGGAGCTTCACGGGCCTCTCGCTCCCGGGGCTGCCCGCAGGCAGTACCGGGCCTTGTCCGTGACCGACGCCAGGCTGTGCGGAGGGGAAGGACCCCCCGGGTGCTCGGAGAAGGCCGGGACCCGCTGCGGACGCCGGCCTAGCGCCCCGGCAGGCGGGAGGGGAGATGTCGCCACCGCCTCAGCTCCGCTGCCGGCCTACGAGGCCCCCGGGCAGTGCGCGGCGCCGCTGAAGGGAACGGGCCCCTTCACGGCCACAGGCCCCGCCGCGATCGCCGCCTGTCCTTGCCTCAGGAGCCGAGCCGAGCCGAGCCGAGCCGGGCAGCACGAGGGGCCGGTACCAGCCTGTGGACGGGGATCCCGGCGGCGGTGCCGGAGCGGGGGGCGGCTGCAGGCGACATGAAGGGCTGGTGGCAGTGCCCTCGCTCGATAGGTGCCACCACACGGCCCCCGCAGGCAGTCGAGCCTCCGGCTGAGCATGGCGCAAGGGAGGCAGGATGGGAATGGACTCTGGTGCCAGATCCACACTGCAGGGCGCTAAGCCACCAGACGCGCACAGCACAGCACGGCTGCCCGTGCCTTGCTTGGCAAGCAAAAGTCAAAGCCACATACGCTGAGATAGGGATGGAGGCAGCAGGAGAGGATGGTGGCACTGGCCGCAGCCTGGCTTCGCAGTGCAGATTCTCGGCAGCTTTTGCAGAGCCCAACCCGTTACAGGGGCTCCCGGGCCCAGACACAGCAGCCCTGCACACAGCAGCTCAGTAGCATCACCACAGGTTCCTCAGAAGAGACAGGGAAGACAAGGGCCATGGGCTGTGTGCACCATGCAAACACCCTGGCCTGGTGCCCATCCTCGTTTCTTCAAAGCCGAAGCTTCTGGGCTGTTCTCTCCTCCACAATCAGCTGTCCATGACACTGGGAGTCAGGTTCCTCCTTCCCAGTGAGAGCGATGGGCTCTGTGGCTCCATCCTGCTGTACTTACACAACTCAACACAGCCCTCCCTGCTCAGATGCCTTGCTCAGTGTGTTCAAGTAACAGCAAGAGCCTCAGAAGCGCCTTAATATCCCCATGCCCATCCCCTGCCCCCTACCTGGGGCACGCTGCAGGACAAGCACACAGTGAATTGATAACTTGTTCTGCTCATCAGTGGGCAGCAAAACAGGGAGAGAGCATTTATGCTGGTGTCCCCCAAAGCACTGGGTTTCCCCACACACTGACCACTGGATATGTAACCTGGGCTCCCAGAGGCCCCCCATAAACCTGACCTCTCATTCTACTAATGTGGCAGGTGCCCAGAGTCCTGCAGGGCTCCGAAAGGGTGCTGAAGTGCTTTCTTGGAGCCTCCCTTCCAATGCAGGCTTAGAGGAGGGTCTTTTCTGCTCCCACTGTGTAGCTGAAGCTTTGGTTCTAAGAAAGGGAAGAGTAAGATGATCCGAGAGTTGTGCATCTGGTCTCATCCCACACAGCAGGCTCTGGCCAAGGCAGGCCATGTGTAACCATGACTCTGAGACCACAACAAATTCAGATGCTGCTAAGAGGGATCTGAAGGTAACTGGTACTCTCCTAAGGTACTCTCCTCACCCTGGGGCCAGCAGAGCAGAATTTCTTGGCACAGCAGTTTGCTGTGCCTTTTGGGCAAGGTAACGGTGGAAGGAGACCAAGTGTATCCCACTGCATGAGGGGAATGAGCCCTGCAAGGTGGCTGAGAGCAATTGGCACCCCAAAGCCCTGCCAGGCCTTGCCCCAGGCTGCAGGAATGACTTGCAGAACAAGAAACAAAAGGAAATGTTGATCCTGCTGTCATTATACCAAATGCCAGATCTAACGCTGGTGATGTGGTTTCAAGGAGCAGCAGCAACACAATCTTCAAAGACACGCAGGCAGGACCGTGTCCTTCACACTGGGGGAGGATCAGTGGCTGTGAGCTCAGGTGTTCCTGTTCCACTCTGCAAGAGAAACTGGGTGAATACGTGTAAGGTGGGGGATCATTGACAGACCTCGCGTTCCAAGGTGAGACTCACACATCAGCAAGGGAAGCACGCAAGGACTATCGTGGTCCCACTGACAGGAGCCCCCCTGGGCTATGCATGAAGCTGCGGCAAAGTTGGCCTGGAGCAATAATCATCATGAGAAGCAAAAGTTCATGTTAAAAAAGTTATTTTACTGCCTCATTATTAAATACATAAATTATCAACCTTAGCAGCAGAAATATGCGTCCCACAGTGTGTCTGGGTGACAGACGCAGGAGAAATTTCCAGAATGGATGACCAACAATGGACACAAACAGGGGAGACTGAGCTGAGCTCTTAGGCAGAAGCTCTTCCCTGTGAGGGTGCTGAGGCGCTGGCACAGGGTGCCCAGGGAAGCTGTGGCTGCCCCATCCCTGGCAGTGCTCAAGGCCAGGTTGGACACAGGGGCTTGGAGCAAGCTGCTCCAGTGGAAGGGGTCCCTGCCCGTGGCAGGGGTTGGAACTGGATGAGCTTTAAGGTCCCTTCCAATCCAAACCAGTCTGGGATTCTGTGATTCAACTGGAAATGGCCCTGAACAACATGATACAGCTTTTGAGTACACTTCATTTGGAGCAGGTTATTTGGATGACCTCCAGAGGTCATTTTCTTCCTATGTGTTTTTAAGGCATTACTAAAATCTGATGTTACACACAAGCCGATTTAATAAGGTCAAAAGAAAATCAAATCCAACAGAAGCTCCTGCGGGGGCCACCAGGGACACTTTGAGAATGAACAACTTTTTTTTAGTTGGCACTAAGAAGCTCTTGGCTTTTCCTCGCAAACTGGACCTTTGGAGAGGACACATCAAGTGTACCAGTGGAAGGAATCCCAGGGAAGAAAAGTAATGCAGCATAAATACCCAGGAGAGGAGCAAAGAATGGAAATGCCATAAAATAATAAATAATAAATGTATAATAATAATAATAATGATAACAATAATAAGGGAATGAGAAGTTTCCATAGAACAGGAAAAAACCCGACTAACACCCGAGAGCAGAACCTGGGGGTGGAGCTGTGTTGGGAAGCTCAAGAAATGTGCAAGAGTTCTTTGTCCCACACCAGTATACTCTGGCTGTTCCAGGTTGCAGCTTGCACCAACTGAACTGTATTTTAACAAAATCTGGTTCTTAAACCACAATTAAAATCAGAATTTTAAATATAAAACCAGAATCTTATAAAGCTGAATTTCTGCTGGCCACCTGCAGAGGACAGAGCTTTCTTCCTTCACCTTATTATAAACCTCAGCTTCTACAGAAGGATCATTCACCTGAAGCACCAGCATGCCACCACAATGAACAAAACCTCCAGCATGTGCAAGGAAATCAAGACAACCAGTGGAGCTTGCTCCTGCATTGAAGGAATGCTGCCCCTTAGTCCAAGGTGTATGGAGGTGGGAGGATCCTCCTTACATTAATCCATACTAGGATATCCAGGCCCAGATCCTGAATCGAAGCAGTCAGTCTCACTGCAGGCTGTTGCAAAGACCTTGAGTTCAAGTAATAAGCAAAAGTCTTCTCTTTCCTGTAGTACGTAGAACTTGAGAGTTCTCCAGGACTATAAACCATTAGTGCTTAAGATTTTCTGTGCAGCACGTTTAGTTTGGACTTTTTTTATTGCAAAACATCTATTACACATTCAGCCGTCAAAAGAACCCCAATGGTCCCTTTCATCTGATGTTCCTGAAGGTGGGCACCTCTTGGTCACACTCTTTCTTCAAACTGCCAAGTTCTAGGGATTTCAGTTTTCTGAGCACCAACATCATGGACTTCTTGCCCTGGCCAAGCTGAGCAGTTGGCCAGGCAGTGAACTCAAACTGGGTCACCATGGTCACCACACATGATCTGCTTGGAGCTGTAGTGTAGCCTTCAGCTGGGATAACAAGGGAAAGGCATTGCCTTGGCTGCTGACCCAGAGCCACATGGGACTTAGTGGTGCAGGCCTCCACAGGCACCACATTCCAACACTCCCAATAAAATTACCTGGAAGAGCAAGTTGATCAAAGCAACACACACCTGAGGGAGTGACAACAGAATAGAAGGTCACTCTATTTTCAGCTGGTTGAGGAGCTCTTCTGCCACGGCAATTACACCTCAGAGAAACAGCAGCAGGAAGTGTGCAATAAGCTGACTGCTAGAAAAGAATGTGAACTCCAGCCTTCTCCTTTTGATGATCACAACCCGCTGTGAGCAGCTTAGGAGGCCATCCTCTTATAAAAGGCTCCTCATCCTCTGACTGGTGACAATTCCACCTGCTTATGGAGAACTTATATTTGGGAATTTCATGGCACTGACAAGTGCTAATCCCCTACTCCTAACCCCTTCAGAACCACTGGGATTTTATTCCGTCCACTCATGTTCACACAGGGACTGTACTTCGACCTCCTCCATGTAGCTCAAATTACTGATCTGACTTCCTCTAGTCCAAGTTCAGCATCTCTGAAGTCCAAGTCCTGGCCTCCTTTTCCATAACCCAGGTCTTATTTTTAAGTTGCTGCCAGATTCTAAATTGCCTTGCTAGGCAGGATGCTCTGGTCTTCCAGGTATAGCATATGAATATACCTCAGATGCAAAAGGGTACTCATGCTTTTACCTTGCTAAAATACCACACAGCAACCGTCCCATTATAACAGGCACAGTTCCTATTTCTTTTAAAAATAAATATTTATAAGCAAAGGAAGAGATCCAGAGAACTACGATGTCAAAAATCTGCCTGCCAACAGCACAAATGTCTTTTTTGTGTCAAGTCACAAGTTGCACACCAACACAGGTACTGTCTAAAAGCCCTCTCTCCTCATCAGCTACTATAGTCCTCCACTGCAGGAATCCCATTGCAGCAATCAGCTCCTCTGCACTTCTCTAGGACTTGTACTGGGCTTCTTAATCTCCTTTTGTAATCAAGTCCTCGATATATGCATCCAGTTCATCATCTGTATTAATATCAATGTCCTGAAACCAAAGGCACAAGAAATACCAGTGAGAAGTGCATCTTGAAGAGCAGCGTAAGAACAGACAAGACACCAGTACAGCATCCTCTGCAACATCTGTCCTGGTCAGCCTTTACAGCCAACTTCCAGCCCTCTTCAGCTGCTGACATCTGCTGTGAAAGCAGGACCACCTTTCCTTGTCACAGCCTGATGGACAATGCCTGGAAATCAGTCAGCACTTGACGCTCAAACAGTGCACTCAAATAATAGATTTACTAAGCTGATCTGGGCAGACATTCCTTGCAGAACACAGCCTGTGCCCAGGGAAATTCTCCTGCAGCCCCACATTTCCTAGCAAAAATCGAAGAACAAATAAGAGACTGTTGCACTATATACATGCCATGAAAAATGCATCTGTGAAAATGAACACTCATCAGAATGTCTGGAACCCAAAAGGAGGACAGCAAGAGGAGCTGCACTCTCAGCTGCTTCTCATGATCTAAGCCCAAGTTGCACCCAATTGAGAAAGGTGAAGCGCAGCTCAAGCGCCTGAAGGGGCCCGGGTCTTGGGAAGGTTGCTACTCATGGGGTTGCTTTGTTTCACACCCCTTCCTGACCTACCTCCTGCACTTTCTGCAGAAGGGCCACGATGTTAGTCCTCAGCTTCTGCAGTTTCTCCTCTGTTTCCTTCAGCTTTCTCTCTGAGTTGCGGAGGTTTTCTTCACAGGCTTTGGCCCGGGCATCAGCACGTGTCTGATATGAATTGCACAGGTTCTGCAGACCAACCTCATACTGTCTGAAATATTCTTTCTGTAGAAGACAAAACACATCAGATGATACGTCAAGAAAAAGCACCAAGCCGCAAGAAAATTCACAGCCTGTGGAAGAGTCCAGCTACTGCATCCCATGACCAAACACCACCAGCTCTCCACATGGTTGTTACCACACATTTCCATTTCTGATTTGCCTACTGGAGGCAGCACAACAGTCACAAGGGTTTTCATGTTTCTCAAAGACCAGAACTGCAATAAAAGCTGCCTGAATTCAGATTAAGGATGTAGCATGTATTTAAAAGCCTAAACCCACAGGTATGCTGTAGAAAGATCTGACAGCCTCTGTTCATAGCAAGTTCCTTTGTATAGATCGCCTAGACAACACAGCGAGGTAGGAACATTCACACATGCAGAAAACTCCTGACAGAACCAACGTGCCTTGTGAAAGCAGAAGCACCAGTAACTCAAGCACAGGCCTGAATTAACAGAAAAGAGGAAGACAACTGTGAATGAGGGAGTATGGCACTATGAAGAATGACAAATAGGCAGTGGCTTTTGTTGTTTAGTCACCTGTAGGTGGATTTTGTAACCTACAGATGCCTCCAGAAAAGATCTCCCTTTGTAGTATGTCAGAGAAGAAAGAAGCCAGAGAAGCCACTATCATTTCTCTGCATTTCTGCCTGCACTGGACCTTCCAACACCAGCACAGGGATCCTGGTGTAGGCTCAGCCCCCATCTGTTCCTTGCTCAACTAAATGGAGGCTGCACCAAAAGCCTCAAGATGCATAGCGGCCTCACAGGCAGTCAGGCTGCTTCCCTCGAGGAGTGTGAGTAGGTTGGCTTGTGTTCTTTCCCACTTTTAAGATTACCGCCAATTAAGTTGGGTTTATAAGGCTGGGGGCAAAATAAACAGGTCTGACTACATCCTGTTTCTACAAACATCTAACTTGGCCTCACTTTTTAAAAGCTTAGCGGCAATGGACAAGAAGTTAAGATAGGAGCAGCCAACAGCTTTCCCACACAGATGCATGGTAATTTAAAAAGTCCTCAGAGAATACCTCAGGCATGTTTCAGAGGGTTTAATTCTTTTCTCAGCTGCATTAGTCTGCGAAGGACCCAAACAATCTTCTGAAGAGTGTGATCTTTCATTAACAGGATGGATGCTTGCCATAAGAATGGAATGTGTGTGGGGAAAACCCCCAGACTTACTTTTCTAGATATACTGAACTCACCAAGGGGAACGCCAACAACCCTTCTGAGCTCATGGAACTCAGCTCCTTCTTGGAGATAGGAAAATTGGGAGGTAAGAAGTACCGCAAACAATTTCTAGGCAGGAAAAGAGAAACACAAAGCCAGAATTGGGAGTTTAAAAGACTTAAGCAAACAGACTGCAACAGCTCACCAGAACTGCAGTGAACCCACCGAAGGATCTGGACTAGTAAGTCTACTGTTTCGTGGCTACTAGTGGGACCGGTGGTGTCTGGCTCAATTCTGACACAGTCTGAGGTAGAAGGTTCTGCCACAATGACCTCCTCTTCCTGCTGTGTATCTGGAGCCTGGTACTCGGGAGAGGGAGGCTTCATCAACCTCACATCCTCACTGCCCTTCTCTACCCTGAAAAAAACACAGTGAGGGAAAGTCAAATATCTTTTTCTACATTAACCATACCTGAACCACTGTTAACAGCTTCATCAGAACCTGTACCCAGCTTCACTCTGAGACCTCTAGATTATACAACAGTTGCCTCCACAGGAACATCACACTAAAGTGATGGGCAGACTGGATGGAGTCTGCCCTGATCATTCCTTATGAAGCAGCTGGACATTCCTAAGCACATATACACTCCCTGACATAACAGTAATGTATCTGTCTTCTCCATCTATGGAAGTAAAAAGGGGTCTTCCTCCTGAAAGCAAAGCAAGCCTCCAAAATCCAGCAGCTAGAGATAGTTACCAGCGATTCCTTGGTGTGGTGTCTGTAGGAACATAATCAAACTTCACCTTCCAGCGTACTGCATGCTTGCCCATCTCCACAGCTGTGACACGGCCTGTGAACCACTCCTTGTTCACACGCACTTCTACACGCAGCCCTTTATCTGCAAGGAGGACAATAGTAAAGATGACTGCAAGCATTCGGATGCTGGAGAGCACATTTTGCATGAGCTCTAAAGACAGCCTCTGTCAGTGGGGAGCCAACCTAAACCTGTGACAATTCCTTCAAATGATACACAAATCATAGCACCACTGTCACACAGTTCAAATCCTACTTAGAAACATTAAGATACAAGATATGGCATTTTCAGACAAAAGGTTTCCTCTGTACTCTGGGCTATGTGACATGGGCTTTCCAGGCCCATGCTGGCCAATTCACCATAGGTTTGCAGACAGCTCCTTGGGAAGAAGCTGAAGAAATGCCCTGCTCTTGCAGAAGGTGCAATACATCCTGGCTATCATCTTTCCTGAGGATCTCTTGGCCCCTCTTCCCTCACAGCAGCGCAGCAGGTCTAGATACAGTCCTCAGCATCTCCCAGCTAACATAGCTCCACGATCCATTCAGTGAGGAAGGGTGACATCAGTCTACAGCATGCAGCCAAGCATCACACCTGTTAATGTGACGCAGGCCTTTGATTACAGATCTCCCAATGCTCTTTGTTGTCCCTTTTCTAATCAAGGGCATCCTGGCCAAAATGTTTCATGTCAGTTAGTCATCTTGGGGTTTGGGACCCAAATTTACACTAGTTCTTACTTTAAAAAGCTCATTAATTAAATCACATGTTTAACCAGCGAGTCTAGTTCTGCAACAGTTCTTTTCCACTGTGTTTGATACCGGAGGCAGTTGAAGGGTTCATTTCTCACCTTTCTGAGATTTCTTCAGCTCTGCCAGGTCTTCTTCTCCAGCACTGTCTGTAAGCTGTGAGGAGAGAGCTCAGATTAGCTGCCTCCCACCAAGATTATAAACACTTGACAAATACCTTCTGCTGGGGAAACCAGTGCACTCTCACCTCTACCACCACCTCACTGGAATCCTTCTCTTCTTTCACAGCCACAAATTTGCCCCGTTTTGTCTTCTCTTTCTTGTGCTCCTCCTCCTCCTCCTCCTCAGACTCATCCTCTGAGGCGCTCAAGATTCTCTTCCGAGTGGTAGAGGCCTGCAGGAAGCAAAAAGGCTCAAGATATAATTCCAGCATGCTTCCAACCAAATCCTTCTTTCAGCCAAGGTAGAAAGCCCTCAAAATCCAGTACTTCATTTGGTAGTCCATTAGCTTTTCCAGCAGGTTTTAGCAGGTACTGCGTAATCATGAAAACACTCACCCTGCTACTCAACATTCATTCATTTCTGGGGAAACAGTCTGGTCTAACAGGAAAGAGATGAAACGAGTCTTCATAAGGGGTGTGGAATGGCACCCTAACTCACGAGTAAAGTAAAGGTTACCTTGCACAGGGACTACAGTGCAAATCCCATGCAGTAGAGCAAGACAGGCTATGCAGAATAGAAGGTACTGACAGTTTTCATCCCATTGAGTCTCACCTGTGGGCATTTGACAGAGGCAGATTTCTTTACTGCTGGCACCTTGGCAGCTTTGGGACTGGGTGTCTCACGTGAGCTTTTGGGATTCTGCAGGGCAGCAGAAGGTGGCTTTGTTGTTGTACCTGGTTTGGCATGAGTTTTTAAATTGCTGTTAGACTTCCCAGCTGTCAGAGTATGCTGGTGTGTCCTGGAAGTGCTGGCCTCCTCCCTGGAGAGCATGCTTGCCAGTTTGGGAGTGCTGGTATTTGGCCAAGCTGAAGAGTTCTTTTTCAGCTGCATGGTGGACTTGGCCAGAGGTTCAGACGGTGGTCTGCTGGGAGCATTCTTGATTACATCAGGTAAAGGAGGAGATCGTGGGCGCTGAGGTCGGGTTAGTGACTGGGTGTTCTGAAACAAATGAGGGTACAGAGAGTCAGTCAGTGCTTTTCAGAGCAGTTAAGGACAACACAAATAAGGATATAAGAAAGTAAGGACAGGTAAGGATAGTACAAATCCTACAGTGGTATCGCATTTACCTCCCCTGCAGGCCGTGTGGTCACATCCAGAGGCAGTTTCTTTAAGTCAGCTTGAGATCGAATTGGAGTGGTTTTCTATAAAAAGAAGCCAAAAACCTCAGAAAGGCCCATCTTTGAGGGCTGTCAGGGCCTGCCTTAGCCCAGCCCTGCAAACACTTTTTCAGCTTCAAATCAACAACTGTTAGAAGGCATGTTCTGTGTCCTTCAAGAGACATCCCTTCATCCAAACACCAGCAGTCCCTCCCATTTCCCTAGCAAGCTGAGATGCTTATTTTCTGTTATAAAACCACCCCTGCCCCAGTAAGGAGCACAGGTGGCAGCAGAGGCTGAGACAGAGGTCATTGTCTAGTGATCTGCACTAGGAGGTCCCTCAAGCATGCTGTGCTTAGCTGGAGACGTCCAGATTCACCTGCAGAGCTTCCAGCTTTTCCTGCTCCTGGCGGATTTTCTCAGCCAGTTGCTTCTGCTTCTCTTCTGGTGATTTCAGGTCTTTCTTCAGAGTTCCCAATGGTACCTTCTGCTTCTGCTCTGCAGCTTCACATCTAGCAGGACAGGAATGCAAGACCACCTCAGTAATACAGTAACCTGTGCTGTCTCACTCATACAGCACTGACTGTCCCCACAACCCATCCCAAAGGCAGCAGTAAAACTGCCTTTCTTTCTGCAGGACACACAATCTCAAAACCAGTAGTTTTCTTCTTGGGAAACGCATGTACAATTTAAGGATCAAAAGCACAGTTGTTAAAAAATAAACACATGCAGATTAAGCACGCTGGAGGAAAGTCTTCGTATTAACTGATTCTTACCTGTCTTGTTCAGGATCAGGGTTCATGGAGCAGACCCAGCTATCAGGGTAATTCTTCTCCACTGAACTCAGCTGGAAGGGGAGTGTTCGCCATTTCAGACAAACATCTGTCAGACAAACACTTTGCAAGTCAGAAATACACATCCTGAGCCACAAAGTAATTTTCTTCTGTAGTGCTTCTCAACCCTATTTGATGCTCAGGGACTGCCCCAATTACCATGTATCCAGTGACTGTCAGACTAGTGGCCACAAAAAAAGTGAGAAAAGCACAGGATCTACTGAGCCAGTTCTTGCTTCATGCTCACAAAATGCTTGCTGGAAGACCTCAAATTTCATACAGGGCATCCATAATAAGGATCTGATGAGGCCTGGGATCAACTGATACTAGAGGACCTCCAACTCACTGCTGCAATGACAGCTCATGCTCTGCCAGTGAGGAGGTGCATGGGAAGCCAGGAGGAAGCAGAGAGAGGACACCTGACCCAAACTAGCCAAAGGGGTATTCCATCCCACAGCACATCATGCTCAGTATAAGAAAATGGGAGGAATTACCTGGAAGGCCCAGGTCGCTGCTCAGGTCGGGCTGGGTATCGGTTGGCAAGTGCTGAGCAATTGTATTCTCTCCCTTTGTTATTTCCTTTATCATTATTGTTACTGGTGGTAGCAGCAGTGGTTTGTGTTATACCTTAAGTTACTGGACTGTTCTTATCTCAACCCATGGGAGTTACATCCTTTTGATTCACCTCCCCCATCCCTCCGGGAGCAGAGGGAGGAAGAAGGTAGGGAGTGAGCGAGCGGCTGTGTGGTTCTGAGTTACCAGAGCTGGGCTTAAGTCACAACAAATACTTACAGTATCTAGTAAGTTTTAGATGAACCTGGAAGACAGATTTGGCCCCCAGAGCATTGCCAGAGCTTTCCTGGCCTACCAGCAAATCAACAGCTTAGGAAAAAAGTTTTGCCAAGAAAATGGAAAAATTCTTAAATGAGTCTCTGGAAGGATGCCCACAGCAGAAGACCAAAAGAATGACAGGAAAGCTCCTCCTCTTTGGGAGGAACTTGAAAATGACTGAGAAAACTGTTAAGGCAGGACAGCCTAACAAAGTAATTCCACAAGACTGGCCCCATATTCCTTGTTACATTCTCATACCAAAATCCTGTGGGGAAATGAGGTCAAGAGAGTTTGGTGTCCCTCTACTAAGAGAGAGACAAAGTCGTTGTGTTGAAACCTCCCTCACACCAGAGTAAGGGCTTAGCCAAATCTGTTCAGAGGTGCACGGAAGAGAACTTGCACTGATTTTGAAAGTCAACTGTAAACAGCTCCCTTTTGACCTCACACCCAGTAAGGTTAGGAAGCCTCTGCATCAGCATATAAATTACTTGGCACTTTCTACTGCAGGAAGTTTCAGATCATATTCTAGTATTGAGGTGGGTTGGCTTTGGCCAGTTCCAGTTTGTATGACATTCTAAGCCCATCCTCAACACTGTTACTGGCCACACCTGCCCCATTCTGTAAGGGCACCTGAAGAACATCATGGTTAATAAACTGCAGGAAAGCAACCTCCTGCCAAGACATCTAAGTGGACCATCAGATGCAGACAATGGCAACTCACAGAAGAAGAGAAGCCCTAGAAGAGGGTAACGATAGCAAAGCAGTTCTCAAATCTCCTACCCATGTTGCTGCTCCCTAGCAGCAGCCAGCAGTCCCTCCCCTATGCACCAGGCAGGAGCAGCCTCCTAGTCACAGCCTGGCCAGACGTACCACACTGAATCGTGGTAGGGATCTCCATGGCTCTCCGGCGTTTGTAGCGCAGTTCACTAGATGGAGGCTGGTTCCAGTTTGCTGACAAATAACCAAATTCATCCCAGAACTTGATGATACCTCTCTGGGCTGGAAAAAAAACAAGTTCCCACTCAGTACGGAGCCATTACCACAGAAATCACCACCCGCAGTCTTGGCTGCTCTCCCCCTTTGCTGCCCTCCAGCCAAGGTTTTCCCTTCCAGGCCCTGGTAACTGTGAAGCTTCATTACCTATAGCAACATCCTTCCAGTACTGAGCCAAATGATCCCCCATGGCCTTCAGCAAGTGTCGATACTCTTTGGCATCAGCAAAGTCCTGTTTATTATGGGTTGGCTCCAAAACCAAATAGGGCACATCCACCACACCCACCACTCCACCACATGCCCTGGAAGAGGAAGACACAGTCACTCACATCATTCAGTTATCAGTCACTAACATCATTCAATTATCAGATCAATTATCAGATTATCAGTGTTGAAAACAGCAGGTTATACACATACCCACTCACCACTTCCTGCAGCAGTACTGGCTTTAATTTATCAGCTTTCTAAGTCAGATTGGAGCCAGCATACAAAAACATGGGCTCAGATATCTCTATTTGCTTTCAAGACCTATTCTCCCTGTCTCTAGAATGAGGCAATACTGCTACCAGTATTTATCAGCCCCAAAGGCCAGCACTGAGCATAAATGCCTGACACTTCGGGTCTGATCAAAATCTGTGTAGACAACTCTCTATCAAGAAACCAGGGAAATATTGGGCAACATTAACTGTAACTTATTTCCCAGAATCCAGACTAAATGCTGACACAATGGCTAAGCCTCACACTCATGAAGAACAATTAATGCAGAACAAGGTTATTGCACGGCCTGAATTATATGTAGGAACTCGCAAGGCTTAAGCAAAAGGATTGCCTAATAATCTCCAGGAACTCACATGCCACCATCCAGCTGCGGGCCCACCTTCTCATACATCTTTATCAGGCGACTGCAGTTATAAATGAACATGCCATCCAACTCGCGCTGCTCGATATTCACACCAAAGACAAAATTCAGCTCTTTGGGTTCTTTCAGTGCCCTGAGAGAGAATAAAAAGAAGCCTCAGGAATGTTGAAACTAAAACTAGTTCTTTGCTGTCATTAGAAGTGATCTAGCGCCTCTGAGCATTAGGGGTTTACCAACACCTGTCCTGTAGTCTGCTACTGCTAAGAAACACCAAGTACCTATTGAATGTGAATGAACAAAATACAAAACCTTTACAATACAGACACCAACTTAGGCTGGACAGTATCTTCTCCGATAATCTGTTTATTTGGATACGGTTTCTCCTTCTAAAATGGATTCTGCTTTCTATTTCAGATCTGCTTGTTCAAAAAAATTGAATTACACGTAGCTTTAGTACTGTGTAGTACTGGTAGGTAGAGACTGTCCCCTCCAATGCGATTTTGTTTGTATTTTCCAGATGTACATCCCTATGCTAGATAAAACATCGAAATTAAGATTTTGATGCTCAGATTCTGGGAAAGTTCTTGTAAACACATGTTTTCCAATGCCATTACTCTAAGTTTGAAACCTAGAAGATATAAGGGACAGCCCAAGCAGAGCTGCTTTTCTTTTTTTCCCTACAAATGACAGGACAGGAATTTGCATGATTTCTACTGTCTATGCAGCACATGACATCAGTAAAAGTTGGCCTCAAATATGTGAGCAGATATGGATTTCTGAACCTGGATCTGCTGTGTGAACTGTGTCTCCTGCCATATGCAGAGAGCCTCAAGACCTCCTTGTGTTACAAAAGAAACAAAATCCCCAGGTATCACAAACAGAACTATTGCTCTTTAACAAATTAAATTAAATAGGTTCCACAGCTTCCATTAAATCCATGCTTAGGATTTTTCATGATAAGGATCGTCCATTTCAGGCTGAAGGTATCATCAAATGTGAGTTTCAAACTTTTAACTACTGCAAGGCTATACCATTGTCCTACCCATCCATCTCATCTCTGACCTGCCTTACTTCCAACTCCCCACCATCTAACCAAATTCTTAGCACTTATGTGCTTTATCCCAGTTAGGAATTTTACCTTTGCCTAAGGGATCAGTTGAAATAATGGAATTCTTTAAACTGATCTGTTGACTGTCTACTAATATTAAGTATTAAAAGAACCTGAGCTGTGCATGCATGAGCACTGCGCAATAATATTCTGCAGGTAAAAGATGTAAATCTATCTTAATGGTCAAGGATTTCAAAATAAATCCCTGAAATAGATTAATTTCATATTCGTTTTCTGTTTAAACCCATCTTTTTGCTCACACAGACGTGTAAGTACTCTGTAACACACCTTCCTTTAAAATAAGTTACTAGAAAAACAAATGGAATAGCAGATTCGAGTAATTTTAACAGTAAACTTTTGCCAAGGCTTATTGTGAACTGTCCTGGGTTTAGCAGTAGCAGTCATTTTTCTCCTTCTTGGTAGCTGGTGCAGTGCTGTGTTTTGACTTTCGGGCTGGGAACAAAGCTGATAAAAATGATGTTTTGGTTTGGCCAAGGACTTTTTGAGCCTCCTGCTCTGCCAGGGAGGAGGGGAAGCCGGGAGGAAGCAGAGACAGGACACCTGACCCAAACTGACCAAAGAAGTATTCCATACCACAGAACATCATGCCCAGGATGTAACTGGGGAGGGACCTGGAAGGGGCTAGAGTGGACTGCAGGGTTGGAGGAGGTATCGGTCGGTGCTTGGTCGGGCTGGGGGGGCAAGTTATTGGTTGCCTGGTGATGAGGTGTTGTATTCTCTTCCCTTGTTATTTCCTTTATTATTACTATTATTGGTGGTAGCAGCAGTGATTTGTGTTATACCTTAGTTACTAAACTTCTTATCTCAACCCGTGGGAGTTGCATTCTTTCTGATTCTCCTCTCCATCCCTCCACGAGTAGGGGGAGGGCAAGAAGAGCGGGGGGAAGCAAGTGGACAGGCTGTCTTGGCTGGGGTTAAACCATGACTGAACACAACATAGAAGTTGGGCTAGATGTGATAGATCTACCTCTGGCAACAAGTCTAGGATAGCTCTGACCTAAGCACCCACGAAAACTAGCATGCAAAACAACCAGGTGGGAACAAAAACTTAGCATATATAAATCCCAAACTTTCTCACACTCAGCATTTGTTTGAAGAGCATTTTTATCTGGTTACAACTTCATGTATGAAATGCATAAAACAACTTTGTAAAAAACAAAAAGCTTATAAAAAAGTGGAATATTCTTGTGAGTACATCAATAGCAAAGTCAACTGCAACCAGAGCTAAGTGGGAACAATGCCTTGGGATTTCACAGCACTGACTGTAACAGAGCTCAGAAAGTTTTTAGAAAACATCCCTACAATTCTAAGACATTTTACTGTAATATTTCATTGCCTCCCTGAATCGTACCTGCAGATGAAAAAGCAAAAGAGTGAAAACAGCTGATGTGAAAACCATATAAACATCTACAGAAAACAAGCCAAATATAAAGGCATCTTTCAGCAAGAGGGGAATAGCAGAAGCAACCAGAAGAGCAAACAGTCCCCTTGGTTTAACAGCCAGGGTGTACAGGATGCCCACAAACATTTAAGCTCGGAGCTGAACCGCTCTCTCTACCACGCAAGCACAGTACGAGAGATGTGAACAGCCTGGGAAATCCAGAGCTCTGAACCACCCTGTACTCACCGCTGCTTTGCATCCTTGATCCTCTTCTTGACATCAGCCTCCCGGCGCATGGTTATTGCCGAGTTTTGGACCTGGCGCAGCATCACCTGCAAACATGCATGGTACAGAAAAATTGCTGCTCTCAAATTCATCATTCGCTCATTTTATGATTTTTTTGTCCTCTTCAAGAAGATCTTGGAAATGTTTTAAAGAATTCACTGACAGTAGAAAGTGACAATCATATATTTAGGGCAGTGCTCGGTGCTAGCTTGTTTAAGCAGCTACAGAGCTGCTTGGAAGAAGATGTCAAAATGCAACTGAACATCTAAGCTCACTGAAACCAGAGGGTAATGGAGGCACAGGGAAACAGCCAGGGTACTTGGATACTCCTATTTTCATTGGATGCCTATAGGAAGTACAGTGATTTCAAGCTGATGACACCTGGGGAAGCACCAGGCATACCTGCGTGCTCTCCTCCCACCCAGAGGTGGTCTGGGTCTCAGCCTTGCCCCTCTCAAGAGCCACAGACCACGAGGAGGAAGCAAACAGCCCCTCTCCAAAATTTTTGGAGCCAGTTACACAGGCAGGGACTGGGCATAGCCAAAAAGCACCCAGTTTTACTTCTGTTCAAACACCGTACATACCCCTGGCCTCTTCTGCAGAGGCTGACACCAAACAAGGTGCCTGGAGGCTGCGGGTTGCCTTCCCTCGCAGGATATATTGAAGAACATCAGCCCACTTGCCACCTGGGCTGGAAACCATGTACAGATGTTGAAGCACATCCACTGGTCATGAGCCCACAGAGCTGCTGAAATGCTGCAAGCAACTCCCCAACTGAAGTCCCTGCCTGTATCGCCTACACACTGGGTGCTACCACTGGGTGCTGACCCGCCAGTGCTGCTCTCTGAGCCAGTCCCCAGTGCCTGAAATGTCACATGCTGGCAAAGCACAGGGCTTACCCTGGACTCCCGTGTGAGGTCCCCACCTAGGCGCAGCTCAAGGGCACGGGCTTTACTTTCCGCCTCACGAGCCTTCTCTTCCGCTGAAACACACAAGGAAAAGAATGATGTCAACCATTCAGTACATGCAGCATATACTAAGGCATCCACCTGAGGGGACAGACTTCCAGAGAGCCTTTGCTGGACTGACATGTACAAGGGTACAGGGTTAACATAAAAGGGTACAAAATAAAACCTGTGAGAGGGCACCACTGACATCTTATAACCTGCTCAGATGTCACAGTCAACACCAGCAAAACTGCAAGGCTAAATTCTGCAAAAGCATGTTTAAAGGAAGGATCCATGAAGGAGTTAGTGAGGACTTGGAAAGAGTAAGGATGCATGTGGCCCCCGTCTGCTCTGCTTGGAAGCATGTAGGCAGAGAAAAGGCTGTCACAGAGTGAAGACTGAGTTCAGGCTTGAAAAGGAGCTACTCAGAAGTAATCTTCTTGCAGACATGAAGGGAGAGCAGTAGTAGTAAAAATGCTTTTAGCTTTGGTAATTGCTAAATTTTGCCTGGAAAAAGACATATCTGAGCTACAGAGAAAATAGGACACAGAGTTCTCTGAAAACCTGCCACTCCACCTGATGTCTGCATGAAGTTTACCATTGAGAATAACTCACCTTTCCACTTCTCCCCCAGACTTCCTGGCAATAGGTACATTTCACCCTGGTATTGCAAGAATTATTCAACAGATTTTATTTTCAGTGAGGAGATCCCTTTCTAAAATTGAGCCACCAGGTGCTTTGGTATATCAGCACCATATACCTTTCATCTCCATGCTCTCCATCCAAAAGCACATTGTGCCCTTTTAGATTAGTGTGATCCTCCTCCATCCTACAGGCTATGAGGTCCACGGGGGTAAACATGGACTGGCAAGTAGCCCCATTTTTAAAAAGGAAAAAAAGGAAGATATGAGGAACTACAGGCAGGTCAGTCTCACCTTGCCGCGTGGCAAGATCATGGAGCAGAAACTCCTGTGCTAAGGCTCATGGACAGTAAGGGGGTGATTGGTGACAGCCTCCATGCAGCCTTCTCTTCTCCAGGCTGAACAGCCCCAACTTTCTCAGCCTGCCTTCATTTGGGAGGTGCTCCAGCCCCTGATCATCTTCGTGGCCTCCTCTGGACTTGTTCCAGCAGCTTCATATCTTCTTATGTTGAAGACACCAGAACTGCACACAGTGCTGCACATGGAGTCTCACAAGAGCAGAGCAGAGGGGCAGGATCACCTCCTTCAACCTGCTGCTCATGCTTTTGATGCAGCCCAGCACACAGTTGGCTTTTGTGCTGTGAGCGCACACTGAAGTGGCTCATGTTCATTTTCAACCTTGTACACAAGCATTTCCCAGAGTAAGTCATCTTAGGGAACAATGTACATTCCTTTCATTACATGGAATATTTCTGGGTCATCAATAGTCACTGTATTAACTAATCTCCTGAGCAATCATAATGATCACAGAAGCAAGCAATTGCAGGTCATATCCAGCACAGCACTATCTTCCTGGCTGTTGCTACAGCACAGTCAGGATGCACGCATACCCCCAAAACTCACCTATCCTCGCCATGTGCTCTGCTTTCTTCACCTCTTGCTCTGCGCGAGTCTTGAAACGGTTTGAAGTATACTTGTACATCCTGTCATGATTGAAATTTATGAATCAGCAAACTCAGCAGTAAGGTTAAACCAAGATTTCATCACTGTATGAAAGAATAAAGTCTCCACCTGCTATTCTGCTCTTCTCAATAGATTCAATAGAGGAGATTTACACATCAGGAACTGAGTGGTTTTCAATGCAATTAGGCAAAAACTTCTGAAATCAGAGATGCTTTAACAGCAGCTGCAAACACAATTCCCTTTTCTGCATTAACCATTGGAAGTGAAATATGCCCATATTCTCAGAGGAAATCCCAATGTTTCGAGGAATAGCTTGTTTGGAAGCAGAAGGGAAGAGTAAATATATATGGAAAGCCTCTCAAAAAACTCACATTATAGATAAATAACCCTTTCTCCTGCAAATAGCCATTCACAGATGTAGTCTGACAGTGCCCATCACACAGTGTAGCTCAAAGACCCTACGTGGCAAAGCAACTCTGAATGGAGCTTCAAGTTTCAGTTCTAAGGTTTCACAACATTTGTGTGTACTACACATCTAACTCACAGCCTTGTAAACCGCGCTTGAGTCACAGTGGCTTGTTCCACCTTCCTGTATCATAATGTGCCAAATGCAGATCACAGACTGACTACTGTAGAGTGAAAGGCAAGTGTGTTTAAGAGGCAGAAGTTTGTGAGTATACATCACCTCTGTGCAGAGACACATAATTGGGGAAGAGGAGATGGCACCAAGAAGGATGATCAGAGTCTGCAGGAACTGAAACTGCCTTAAGACACCAAGTTCTGTATGTTTCAAGAGGAAAATCCCAACCCAAATAACTTTTTATGGAAAAACAAGGCTGTGATAATTGCCACAAGACCAAAAAGACATACACTGTGCTCTACAGGGAGGCCTTCTTTGCAGAATACTGCTGCAGGAGTGGGGATTTTAGATGTAAATGCTTTTACAGTGTTGGGAATTTTTTACTGCCCTACCACCGTAAGCAGATCTACAAGGAGTTTGCACAGATGTGGCACAAGCAGATTTGTTAGATACACCTGCACCAGCATTGATCCTAGTCAGTGTAACCGCGGGGCACTGTTCATTCATGAGTTTCTAATACAACTTCACACATTTTCACTTAAGAAGCTGAGGAAGTACAGGCCTGACAAGCAGGCCATGGCTGTAAGCTGAAAATGGGTCAGGCTCTCCAGGCAACCATCATGACATCAGATTGTGCTTAGTATGAGTACACAAGTTGATAGTGCGCCATACTATTAAAACAATTGATGTTTGTGCTATCAGAAAAGCTATCCACAAATACTCTATAAAATTATTACTAATCTATTAAGACAAATCATGTTATAGTATCTGGTATACAGCCTGTGTGCTCCCAGGGACAGAAGAACACTACTGCCTCAAGGAGACTTAAATACATGTTTTTCTTCCCCCTCGCATTCTTATATCCTTTTCTAGTTCCTGTTAAGACAACTGGCAGCACACCTCTCTTGCTTTCAACTTTCTTGTATAAGAGAACTTAAAAGGAAGACAGGGAATAGTATTTCCTAATCTCTATGCAAACCTTTATCAGCTACGTATGTAAGTTCATTTTCAAAGCAACTGTTTCAAAGTGCTTAGTCTCACTTCTTTTCAGTAATAGTTCTAAAGGCACCATATTTATGCCCTTAAAAACAGCTACCTAACTGTTTTGTATGCATATGTAATTTTGAACAACAATTATCTTCATTTCTTGGTTTGCTCTGAAAGGGAGCCAAACTGCATAAATTACTCAAGATACTAAATTTTCCACTGTCTACCTCCTTTTCCATATGATCTGTTTCTGTGGCTTTAACATGGAATTATGCAGGATACACCTGGAAAGCAAAATGTTAAACCCTTTCCACAGGGAATCTCCAAGAAGTCCTACACATCTGCAGATGCTGGGTCCAGTACTCACCTGGGCTTGTACAGGCAGCATGAAAGTCGTTTTGTTTGTACTTTGTGTCCATTTATGAAGATTCTCATTCTGGGATCAATATAAAGCACAGCAGCATAGGCACGAAAGGAGCGGCGCTCAGGCTTTCTGCAAGAGAGGGATGGATGCTTACAGAAACTGAGCAGTTTGTTCACCACTTCCTTGTAGAACTACCAGCAGACACTATCCCAGTCTGGCCCATGTAGCCCAAAGGTGCCTGCAGCAGTTCAGCCCCGAGTAATCAGTGTCTCTTTAGTCAGAGTGCTCATCCTGCATTCCACATTCCTCCTTCCTTCACAGTTTTTCCCCTTCATTCCCAACCATTTAAGAAGAGCGTGTCACATACTACTGTCACAGAGCCTTGTCCTCTATCCAAACCAAATGAACAAGTTTTTCCATGACAAAACTTGCAAGATTCTTATTTTACGACAAAATGCTACCCAGTAGCCAAGTGCCCACGCTGCTCTGCATTACCCCAATATATTTTAAGCACCTGAAGCAGGATTTACACCTCACGCATCTCAGCTCATAGCCTTCTCCTTCAAAACATGCCAAAGAGACAATCTTCAGCAAGAAAGGCAGGCACAAGACAAGGCCCTTCTATTTTAATTACCAGGCAGCAGGGTGAAGTGAGGCTTTTCTTTTAATATTGTTTTATCCATGTCTTCTATGGAGAGTTGCTATTGAGCTGTACATTTTAAATACTGCTACAAAACACTGATGTACGTATCACTGTAGCTTGAAAAGGATGTTTTGAATACAGCTGGATAATAAAGGTCAAACCTATAAACTGGCCCATTGAACACTAAGTGTGTGCCCCACTTGCTAGCATATTCTCTTACCATTCTGTTATTCAGGAGTGTGCTCTGACAGGAACTGCACAGATCACACACATAAATGCTATCACAAGGTAAGAGAGAAGAAGCTCCTTCCAGTGATCGGTGCTAATCATAAAAGCTCACCAGCGCAAAGAAACTGAGAATCACGTCAGATTGCCAAGGAGTTTGCTGCACCTGAGCACTCAGTAACATCAAACTAATGCATACAGAATTAGCTAGGTTTACAGTGTCTGAAACTGTATTTTTATGAGAAATTCAAGCACTTCAGGGAAGCAGTGTGTAATCTCATTATACAGGTAAAGCTCACTAGGTGTGCCCATGTAGCTCTGGGATTTAATCAAGCATTTGATTTAATCTGAGCTCATGTTTTCCTTTTCAGGCAGCTTTCCCTGAACACCCCTCTATGCTCTTCCAACTGTCCTCTGAGCACATCCTCCTTTCTCCTCTGCAGGAAATCCAGGAGCTGCTCATGCTCCCAGGATGAGGTGTTGATACACCCCATCAGTACTACCCTTTTACCACTCGCTCATACAGGCTGACCTGTGCGGTGTTCACATCTTGCCAGGGTTCATTTAGTAACAAAACTGAACATGAGTTTGAAAGCAGCAGACTCACGACCAGCTGTCATTGTAATGAAAACATCTTTGATGAGCATAGATTAAACCTATAGCTTAGGGCTCCTTTGTTTTAAGGTGCCTAAAGAAGAGCGCTGAGTTTCCTGCTTTGAGTAAGCTGAGACAAGACAAAGTAGGCATTCACCCAAGCATACAAACATAACACCTTCAGGCTGTTTACACACATAAACTCCAAACTGCTAAGAACAAACTAAAGATCTTTTAAACTCTCCAATTCACCACAGAAAGAGCAGCTTTTAAAAAGCACATGCACACAGTATATAGCTAAACCCTACACATAAAATTATCAGAGCCCAAAGGCTTGTAACATGACACTTACGTTCCCTCTGGAGATGTTTCTGCCATCTGAATGTCTCGGGGGTCAGAAGTCACATCCAGCTCTGGCTCTCCATTATCCATTAGTTTGAGGTTAAAGATTATCACCAGGGTGCCTGAGCAAGTAACAAGTTGGTAAGATGAATTCCAGCCAAACCCCAAATACCCTGCCTGGGACCAGCACTGTCCATACATACCTTTCTCACCATGTATCTTATTAAACTGCTCCATCACTTCCTGTTCTGACTTGAAAGGGGAATACTTGTAAATTAGCTCTGTCTCAATAGCAAACTTCTCCATGTTGTCAGTCACAGGCTCCCGGCTTCGTGCATTCCAGGTAGGCAGGGGGACAATGACCTGCAAATTGCACTGTATCAAGAGCACAGCTCACCCACTCTGGTCTGCAGACCATGAATGAGTGACTTGCCCCTTCTGACAAATGCCCAAGGACCTCTCTTTACCAGCCTCTGAGTTGCCTTCCCACAATATCTAGTCTTAGACTGAGCTATTTCCAAGTAACCTCTATGGTACTGGCTACTCACACACTCAAAGGGTTTTTTCCCCTCCTCTTGCAATGACTTTCATAATACTACCATAAAAAAAAAAAAACCACCAAATTTTGCTTTTTTAAAAATTTCAATTTCTGTACTTAACTTCTCTCTTGAACTCAAATAACCTTCACTCATATTCATCCAGATCTCACTCTTTATTTTATTTACAAGTAAGGCTATTATTGGTGTTTTCTGTTGTTCAGAACAAAACCACAGATGGAATTATAGCCTGGGTCTGCCTATCAAGGACACTGAATCCTGATCTCACTTTAGAACTGAGGTCAAGCACAAATCTCTGATTCCACAGCCGCAGTGAGAACTACATCACTGTTCCCAACTGGCTTCAGCCATCAGCTGGCCACTAACAAGCACTGCTCCCTCAAAAGCTTCTTTGTAGAGCTCCCTCCATGATCACAATGGAAAATACTTTCTTAGATACTATCCTAGTACAAATTTACAACCTTTCATTATCAGTCTTGCATGGAAAACACTTGTGTTTGAGCACAAAAATAGTTCCATGTTAAAGGGTCTGGATACAGAACAACAATGCCTGAATTATGTATTAAGATAATGCAAGTTTTCAACAGGTAGAACCACACTGATTTTTTGTTTTAAAAAAAAATCCAAAAGAAAAGACATGTCTGGAGTTTGGGTCCTGTGGCTAGGACTCATTCAAGCACACCTTTAATTCTCTACAGAAAATCAGATCAGAGCAATAAATTTAAATACATCCCATACTCAAATTTTGTGGAAAAAGGAAAATGCAAGAAGTCTAGGCATGACCTGAACTCAGCATAAGCAACATTAAGTGATTAAAACAAGTCCTTCAAACTTGCTGTAGTTTACAGAACTCTCGGAATTAAAACCTAAAGGAAAAATCCTTTGATGACTTTGCAGAACCCCTACAAGTTTATCACCAGGAGAAAACCATACCACTGGTCCAACCAGGGGCAGCCAACACTGACACAGACACTTCTCCTGTGGGAGCTGGAGAGGTTCTGGTGAGACAGCATTCACCACATTAGTTCATTATAACAAAGTACATGCAAACCTCATCAATGCCTTCTTCCTCATGGAATGTTCGTGACAAGAGAAGGCAAGTCATGGTGTTGTCTTTCTTTGTGAACAGGATAAAATCCTTCCCAATCCGCATGGAACCCCTGCAGACAAATTTCAGGCTGCATATTACACCTGATGCATAACATTTTCTAGAAAGCAGACCACATTACTGAACTTTCTTCCTATTATGTTCAAGATGCCAAAACCAGGTAAGGCAAAAGAAGGGCTTAAACAGCAGCTACCACTTCTCTCTAAATATCTCTCCTTTCAAAAGGCATCTTAATCTGAACATTCTCATAAGGCTTCAAATCCCTTAACACGAGTCTCAATCAGAAGCCAGATGCGCAGCGTGCCCAGGCTCATCCTAGATAGGAAGTTTAAAAAAAAATAATCTTTTTTTTTTTTTTAATCTAAGATGACTAAAGTGAAATGTGACAATATCCTGCAAATACACAGGCACAAGTGTGAGAAAGCAAAGACACACTTCATTTCACTTCACACAGAATGAACAGCAGCAAACAAGTTTCTGGGAGACAGACATTTTTTTCCTACGTCTAACTTAAAAGACTCACTGACACTTCAGCCAGTGCAACTTAGCAGCTAGCTGTCACAAAAGGGACAGTCCCATCTTCCTCCCCACTCTCCTATCCCCAACAGTGCCTTCCCCATCTTGTTTTACTCTAACTTGTCTGAAAAACCTTAACAAAGAGAAGTAGCATTGCATCAAAAAAAGGGATTAGTGTTCTGTCAGTTCAATTCTCTTTAGATTGGCCTGATGTGATACCAAAGCACACCTTTTGCATGTTTAGGCTTCAGTCTGCATTTCTCACCTGTAATATAATATGACTCTTGTCCAAGGTTAAGAACAGGACAGAGGTCTGCCCTGGAAGTGCCCAGCCAGGATCTGGGACCTGTCCTGCACTGCAGCTATATCAACGGGATATCAAAGTCCCTTACAACCCCTTTTCTTCTTTCCTCCCATGCTACAGAGTCCCACAGATTTCCCCAGGAGGATACACATAAAAATAAATCAAGCCACACAGAACAGTATGAAGCAGAACAGCCAGAGTAAGCCATAAAAGCCCTCTAGCCTTCCCAAAGACTTCAGTTTACCACAGAAACACTTCTTTCCTAGCAAATCCCCTCCAGCTAACCAGAATTCCTCCCCACCTTTGTTCAGCTGCCACCTAATCCCACTCCTCCTCTCATTCCTTCCATTACTCTCCTTCTTCTCTATGCATTTGTTTGATTTAGGAAAAAAAAGAAAAGGTTGAAGTCCATCTGACTAGCAGCCCACAACCTTCCTACTCAGAGGACTATTTTGCTCCCATTTCATTGTCTCCCACAGGCAAATTAAGGTTTTGTTTCCTGCTGTTTCCTGCATTTTTTTTCCACCAGCTCTGATCTGTATGCTCTGCATTATGCAAACATAATGGCAAAACACTGTCATCAGCTCTTGACAGACTTCTGAGCCACTGAAAAATTACAGCAGATGTCAGGGCTCCTGTCCCCCAAACCACGGTACCAGGATTTAGATTTCACCTGCCTTCTTTCTTCTGGGGAAAAAAAAAGATATATACCTCCAAGCAAACAACACATTTACTACCTCAGCCCTGAGCTCCATATCAGGAGGCTGGCTTTTGTTATACCTACGATTTCAAGCCGTTCCCATACTGCCCAATTTGAGTTGACTCAGGTGATCGCTTGGCTGATTTCCCAAACTGAATAACACTGGCAGCTTCATCTGGAACGAGAGACAGGTAACAACAAAAGTTTTATTTCAATACACAAACAGACAAACATCTTTTAGATAAATTCATTCACCACTGTAAGTAGCACAGAAAAATTATAGCATGGAAAATGCCAGAAGCCAAAGTGTCATCCTGAAGCTCTGCCGTACAGCCCTGTAAGATACACACTGCTCAATGGCATTTACATCATTAAAAGCTTTGTGCAGATGCCATTATGATGACAAAAAGAGTTTTAAGTTCCAGATGAGCCCCATGCTCCATCCCAACTGCACAAAGACATTTCTTTTTACCAAAAAAAATCCACAAGATGATCTGTTGCGTCAACCACAATCATCAAAATGTTCATAAACTAAAACATAGCCTGGGACACTGCAGCTCTGCTGTGCTGCATGTACTGCATGACTCAAACCCACTGCCAATAGAGCGTAAGTCAGTGCTACAAAAAAAGGTCTTGAATTTGGGATAAACATCACTTTCTCTTCATGGTGTTGAGCTGAACACTGAAGTAAGCTGAACACTGAAGCACTAGTAAGACAAAAGGTGATTTTCACAGCAGACTGCTAGCAGAAGGGCAGCTGTGGGGGAAAAGGCAGGATGAGCAAGTACTGCAGCAATTAACAGAGTACTTTATTACCAGCGACCTAAATGAAAGGATGTGATGCATCTGCATCTGCAAGGGTCTGTCATTTTTAGTTCAAGCCTTTATATTGTTCAAGGGATAAAGCCTTTTAACATTTAACAGAACAATTCCTCTTCCTTCCCCCAAGAGATCACAATCATTTCACTGCAGAGTTTGCCGGGAGAAATGAAACACAATTCCAGAGACAAGGAACAAGGAACATCAAGTGCCTTAACAGGAAGGCTAACAACAATTACAACCCTCAAATGTGTACACAAGCTGTGAGGGAGCTCAGGACACAAGCTGTGAGTGTAGCTCACCCAACCAGCCAGCTACATAGAGGCTGAGCAAGCTGGATTTAAGCATGGAAGACACTTGCCCAAGTCCACTAATATTGACAGTGAGTCTTTACAGTAAGATGTTTAGTATTAACACCACTGGTCTCACATGAAATCACTGAGCTGGGTGTCAGAATGCCATTTACCACTGAAATGACATTCAGATTTAAAGTCACAAATCACAAGGCAAAAATACTGTGCAAGCACCCCACTGCCTCAATGCAGTATGTTCACCATGGAGATCCACAAGCATTTCAAAACGAACTTTTGACTGGATAAGAGGACCTCTTCCTTTCCTTCAGCCTACAATAGCATTTTCTAGCCAAACAAGGAAAACATTAGATTACCTCAGATTTGAGATCTGGGTAAGAATATTGATTTTATTATTACTACTTTATTATATTCTTACTATTACTACTTTATTACATTATCACTATTGCTACTACTGCGTTAGTTTGAAAGCCTAGGCAGAAAAGGGTACAGGGGATGTCCTAAGAGGAGAAGTTAAACTGGAACCCTTTTGCTATACTGAAGTTGTATCAATGACTACTTTCAAGAAAACTCTGAGAAGCCTAAAAGGGGTAAAGAATAATTATCCAAAGCACTTCCTCTCTCAGAAAAGGCAACCATATGGTTTATAACTCAATGCTGGATGTCGAAAACTACCCTGTAAAGATTCCTCTTTCTGGGCAGAGGGACAAAAGTGATGCCAAGCAGAGGGACTGCGAGGGAGCATCTGTCTCTGCTTCAGGTTTGCTGTCTTTGGCAGAGGTTTAGGCTTTACCTCCTCCCAAGAATCAAGGTACAAATGATTTTATTTTTCTTTTTAGCTTTGAGTTAAGGCTCTAGAAGGAGTTTCACTCTCAGCTATTTTAGTCACGGTGTTTTCATTTTGTCGTGTCTCAGAGTTACCAGATTTAAAACAAACTCCCTGGCAACGTAAAGCGGAGGGTGACCTATGCCAAACACGAGAGAAAAAACAATCTGAAGGAATTTGCTCAAGATGGCAGATTGATCTTCAGAGCCCAAGAAAAGGAATCAAGGGCACAGATAAACAGTTGCCTCCTAAGAAACATGAGACGCCTGGGATGAAGAACTTGAGGGATGGAGTTGTTTAGTTCCTGACTGCTGGTCCTCCAAGAACAGCTGCAGAGCACCCTCCTCAACAACAGGCAGGCTGCTCAGCACAGGCTTGATGACACAAGCCACCACAGACACCCCTGCAAGAAGCTGCCTGCTCCCCCACCATGAGTCACAAGCCGTATCCCTCCACTCCCCCACTATCAGCCACAAGGCACCCACTGAAGTCAGACCTGGCTTGCCCTTTGAGGAGAGTCCTCTCACATTCCCAAGTTTACCAGACTGGAATACGCTAAAGAAGGTCTCGATGTAAGCATAGAAAATGATCCTTCCTGCCTTCTCCATAAACACATCTGCTATATTCACATTAGGTGGAGTACTTGCAGCACACTCAACAGCATCCTCAAAATATATCCCAGAGGCAAAGTATCTAATTTACTACATGGGGGAAATCAGCCTAAACCAAGATTACTTCCAGTGAAGCTTTCCCTAGGAAAGGGGAGGAGAAGCTCTGAGGTCTTTCATCATCATAACAAACACAAGACAGTCAGCTACCTGAGGCTGGTACAAGACGACACCACTTTCTGCCCACATGGGGAGGGCACTGGATGCTGTTTAGCTGGGCTTTAGCAAAGCCTTAGATGCTGGTTCCCACAGTCTTCTCCTGGACAAACTAGCAAGACACAGACTGGATGGGTGGTATGCAAGATGCACAGGGAACTGGCTCACAGGCTGCACTCAGAGGGGGACCATCAATGATGTTTACTCCAGCTGGCAGCCTGTCACAAGTGAGGCCACCCAGGGATTGACGCTGTTCAGCATCTTCATATGGGATTTGGATGATGGGATGGAAAGCACCCTCACCAGGTTTGGTGATGGTGGGTGAGCTGGACACATCAGAAGGGAGAGCCATCTTAGAAAGACCTGGACAGGTTGGAAGAGCTGGCAAGCAAGAACTGTATGAAGTTCAAAGGAAGGGCAAGGTCCTGAACCTGGAATGAAATAACCAAAGAACCCAGTACAGGCTGGGATCTGTGTGACTGGGGAGCCTTGGTGAAAGGGACATGGGGGTCCTGGCAGACAGCAAGCTGAATATGAGTCAGGAGTGTATCTCTGCAGCTATGAAGGCAAATGGGATCCTGGGCTGCATCTGTATGGGCATTACTAGAGACAGAGATGTGCTTGTCAGGCCATACCTGGTGTACTCTCTGCTTTTGATCTCCTCAGTTCAAGGAAGATGTGGACAGACTAGACAAGGTAAAAAAGGAGATGATGATCAAAGGGCTGGAGAACCTGCTCTATCAGAAAAGACTGAAGGAGCTAGGTCTCTTCTTTCTGGAAGACAGGTCTCACAGAGGGAATCACATCACACTACCCTAGTATTACAGGGCAGCTGCAAAGAGGATGAAGGCTCTCCCTTCACAAGGAGCCACACGAAAAAGAAAAGGGCAATGGGTAAAAGTTGCACTGGGAGAATAATCAGTCACTGAAACAACCTCCCCATGTGGTGGAGTCCCTGTGGCTGGAGGTTTTCAAGATGCAATGGGACAGGGTGCGAAATCATCAGGGCGCTAGGTTCCCCTCCCATGAAAGGTTATACCATGATGTACAGATGATCTTTGAGGTCCCCTCCAAACTGGGCTGTTCTGATTCTAAAATGCAACTTAAAGACTTATTTTTTTCTATCTTTTAAGAATACAATTATAGATCATTTCCTAAATTAGCCATTATACTTCTTCAATCTTCACTCAACCTACATTCTGATTCATGCAGCACCTTCAGAGCCCAAGCAGGAGGTAAAATTCTCAAGCTAAGTAACCTCAGTAGTGATGTCACTGACAATACGAGAAATCCTGACCTAATGTTTTCTAATCAAATCCAATTTAGTCCCTTATGAAAAAGCCAAACTTTTCAACCAGCACCACTATCCCAGTATCTCCCTGTGAGACATGATGCTTTTTTAGAAGCAATCTGTACTGTGGCACCACTGAATCCTCAGATCTTTTGATGACTTATGACTCTAGAGCATGTTTGCAGCTTGAGGACAAATGTAACTTGACCTTCAGGCAATCCAATCCAGCATGATCATTAAGAGAGCCAATGCAGCAAGTTCTGAATGCAACAATAGTAGGAGCCACTTGACAAACAGTTTTTAGAAAAGCTGATCACTTATACCTTTAGCTCATTTTACCTGGGGAGCTGCCATTTGCCTTGACAATGGAGCTATCGGGCAGAGCGCTCAAATTTGAGCTATTGCCTCACTCCACCCTTCTATGTTTCCATAGCTTGCCAGACAAATTTAGGACTGACCAACACAGAACAAGACCAAAGGGACTGGAGGTGTCCCTGCCTATGGCAGGGGGGTTGGAACTTGATGATCTTAAGGTCCTTTCCAACCCAAACCATTTTATGATTCTATGATTCTATAACAGAGAACGTGTTAACTGAACACTTTACTTGGGCCATTCAGCTCTTCCCTCTGTGTGAAAGCATCCAGAGATATCCAGGGTTATTGACTCATCCTCCTCATCCAGCCTTCTAAGCTGCCCCTTCAGTGTACTCGGGAAGATCATACTAGCGTGGGTTCCAACAGGATTAAGACAAATCACATAGTTATTCTTCTTAACATGTCAGCTTACAACAATCCTTACCTTAATTATCATGTGGAAAAATAAACTCCTCCCAAGCTCTGTGATTTCTGTGAAGGTCTGTGTGGATTTTGATGCTATTTTCACAATAAGGAGACAGAAAAGTCCAGTAAAAGGTTTTCTGCTGACCTATCCTAAAATCAGCTTTCAGGTAAGAAATCTTCAAGATGTCTTTAAAACTGGTAGATCCTGCATTATTAGAAATTAAAACTCAGGCCTCTAGTCAGGTGTAGAGACAGACCCATGTAAGGAGTTACAATAACAGTCGCTCTCCAGCCATTCCTGTCCATGTTCACAGGCAAACAGTGCAGCAAATGGAGTTTCTACCTGGCTGCCCTTGGTTAAGTGACTTTTAAAAGTTGATCAAGCTTCCTATGACCACCCAGCACTGAAGCCATGAAGATGTGACCACCAGAGCCAGAGTCTGCATCAAAACAGTATGTCTCAGACTACTGAAAATTAAGAAGGGCTTTTTCAAAAGTGCTAAAAGCTGTAATTTCACATCTGAAAAGCGGTATCCTGGAACGGGGCAAAGGTAACCTCACAGCCTAGTTCAAATCTAAAATAAAATAGAAAATGTTGAGGCACAGAGTGAACTACACTTCATGCAAACATCAACAGTCAAAGGACATAAATTATATTGTATTTGCCATATACGCTACAATACAATATAACATATGCTAGTGCTGTGAAATACCACCACAACTCACAGTACCTTGCACTCTCCTTTACAGAGGATCTCAGACTACCAAAGTTAGGATAAAATCCTTCAAGATTTAGTAGAAAGATCAGCCAAAAGAAGCAACTGGATACTTAGCCAATACTTAAATACCACTTTGTCACAAAATCAGCAATACAGGAGCAACAACAGCGTAAAAGCTGCTATTAAGACCCTGCAGCGTTAGAACGGATACTTGTCACCACCTGCTCTCAAACCAGACACAAACATGCAGTCTCCAAGATACGCAGAACAGGCTGTATTTCTTCTCCCCGATCCAAAGGTTCGTGAGAAGGCCACACTTAAGTCTCTGAACTTGTTTTATGGATGGGGCTTAATTGCTTCCTTCAATTCCACTGGTGGCAGAAAAGTACTCTCAGAAGGCCTGTTAAGGATCCTTAGTTATTTTCCAGAGAGTACACAGAAGGTATCTGGGGTTTGAAGTAAACTCCTTCAAGCAAGTCACAAATTTGTGTATCAAAGATGCTAATGTATTTTTATAAGCATTAATAAACAGAATTAAACACTTCATATCTGTACTTGTTTTGGCTGGGATAGAGTTAAATTTCTCCATAGCGGCTTGGATGGGGCTATGTTTTGGATTCCTGCTGGGAACAGTGTTGGTTTAGCTACTGCTGAGCAATGCCTACAGAGCATCAAGGCCTTTTCTGCTCCTCACACTGCTCCACGAGCAAGGGGGCTGGGGTTGCACCAGGAGTTGAGAGGGGACAAAGCTGACGCCAACTGATCCAAGGGATATTGCAGACCACAGGATGTCATGCTCAGCAGTAAAACTGGGAGAGGAGAAGGAGGAAGGGGGACATTCAGAGTGATGGCATTTCTCTTCCCAAGTAACCGTTACACGTGACAGACCCCTGCTTTCCTGGAGAAGGCTGAACACCTGCCAACTAATGGGAAGTGATTAATGAATTCCTTACTTTGCTTTGCTTGCACACACAGTTTTTGCTCTCCCTATTATACTGTCTTTATCTCAACCCATGAATTTTCTTGATTTTAACTCTCCAATTCCCTCCCCCATCCCACTGGGCTGTGTGGTGGTGCTTAGTTGCTGGCTGGAGTTAACCCACAGTATTACAAGCACATCTTAAAGTACTGAGGGATCAAAATAAAATGTTAGTCGAGACTTCTTTACTTATCTTCTCTATCTTCTCACAAACCTTCAAATTCAGCCAACTTTTCTGCCAGTAGAGAGCTCCTCACAGGAGGATTTACCTGTCTTCAAGACACAGAGCGGGTGGAGTGGGTTGACCGTGCTGTTCACTGATGCTAAAGCAAAGCAAGAAGCTTTTCTCCTGCTAGATACAACTCAGATGTACATCAATTCTTACAACAGCTTTAATTTTTTTCATGGTACACTTTCTTGTAAGAGCTGAGAAACACTAACCACTTGGCAGCCTCTAATAGAGAAAAGGCTTATGCCATTCAAAGCCTGTGCTTGTTGCCTTTTCTGGCTACCACATTCTCTCTCCAGCCCCAAGGCCAACTTTGGTGTGCTGGAACACCACAGGCCAGGCTGACTAATTCTATAATGCAGCAAAATAATCTGCTTTTGGCCAGATCAGTTTTCTGCAGCTGAAGAGGTGAACAGCTTGATACATGATATGGTGTGAAAGAGCCAGTGCAGCAGAAGGAACATGTACCCAGGCATGTAATATGCCCCTTTCAACAGAACCATGTTGTTAATTCAGCCTAAGCTGTAACACGAAATCTCAGCTTGAAAATGAAACTTTAACTTCCTGCGACTTACTTGAATCCATTCCTGTTCCATCATCCAAAAAACAGAGCATGAATCCACCTCGCAGGTCATCCCGTTGCTCTACAAGAGAAGAATTATTCAGTACTCCCATGAGCAAAAGTTAAAAGTTCCATAAAATGGAATCAGTGGTAATGACAGAAGTAACATAACAAGCACAAATACACCATGGCTAAGCTGTAAGAAAGAGCAGCAGATTTTTGTTACACAATAACTAAGAAGTCCTCCTGCACTTTAAACTGTATGTACATACATGCTGCAAGAGTGTATTGTAAAAACAGGTTTCTTAAGCATCCAGTATAAACAGCTACTCTCTTTACCTGACCTCAGCTGAAGGCTGCTCTAAGCGCTTACCCGAGTTACTTGTGAAGGCACCAGTTTTTGAAAGACAACAGCCACTGGGGCACAGGACAAATGGTAGAATCAGAATTATTTAGGTTGGAAAAGACTCTTAGTATCATTGAGTCCAACCATAAACTTGCCATTGCCAAATCCACTACTAAATCACGTCACTAAGCACAACATCTACCTGTCTCTTAGAAATGTACAGATGGTGACACAGGCTGCCCTGGGCAGCCTTGTCCCGTGCCTGAGCACCCTTTGGGGCAGGAATTGTTCCTCAGCTCCATCTAAACCTGCCCTGGTGCAGCTTGAGGCTGTTTCCTCCTGTCCCATTCCTCATTCCTTGGAAGCAGAGCCCAGCCCCTCCTGGCTCCATCCTCCTGTCAGGCAGTTGTAGGGAGCTATGAGATCCCCCTGAGCCTTCTCCAGACTGAACCCCCCCGGGTCCCTCAGCCATTCCCCATCACACTTGTGCTCCAGGCCCTTCACCAGCTCCATTTCCCTTATCTGGCCCTGCTCCAGCACCTCGAGATACCTCTTGTAGTGAGGGGCCCAAAACTGAACACAGTATTGGGTATAAGCATGCTCACTGCAATTCTACCAGGTAGAACACACTGCTGACATTCAATGACGCAGCAGGAATGACTTACCAGGATAAATGTCTATTCTCGTGGCATCTGCATCTCTACAAAACAAAAACACAATTGGTATTCAAATGTCAAATGGAAAAAAGCTAAAATCCAGGCACATGCAATAATTTCCAAAATGAATATTTGCTGCACAGATCAAAGTCCGTAAAGGCCCCTCAGTCAGCACCAACATGCAAGTGAAAACACACAGTTTCACTTTTTGCCTTCTTGAACCCAAACTCCAGCATAAGACATTTGCTGCCACACAACTAAGCCTAGTTACAGCGGAGTATCACTGTATTTGTACAGTGATAGTGTTTTAACAAAAGTCATGTGTGGGGAGAGGGATCAAATAAGCCTGAGCTCCTTCCTGTTCAAAACAAACAATACCGTCATTTTTCCTGTCAAGCTGCCTATGGAAAGTTTAGTAACTCCACAAAAAACTCCATCTAAATACATTCACGTTTGTCATAGGAAACTGTGTCATTACAAGATCATTTAAGTAAAGCCCTTCATACACTGTGCATCCTCCTCTATTTAAAAAGGAGCATAAGCAGCATTACTGCCCTCTACCCAAAACCAAACATTTTGTTTCATGTAGACCATCACATACCCTTAGTTTGCTGATCAGAAGAGTGCAGTTGCAGTGCCATAATAAACCCCCACTTCCCAAATGCCAAAGTTACTTTGTCTTGTCTTTATATCTACAGCCAAGTATAGCTACCTCCTTCCCAGAAGGCCAACCTCTCTTTTCCCAGAGGAGGAACCAGGCTGGAGAAAATAATCCATTAATATCAGACACTACATTTAACTATGTTGTACCAGAAGTGCAAAGCAGCAACGGTGCAAACACACACACAGCTGATTCCCTACACTGAAGTCTTCCTGCTTGAGCTCTTTAAACTAAGAGCTACAGAGAACAACAGTTCACACACTGATAGAAAATGATAGAAAATTTTTCCATAATTCCGTCAGAATATTTATAGAATAGAATAATAGAATGGTTTGGGTTGGAAAGAACCTTAAGATCGTCCAGCTCCAACCCCTGCCACAGGCAGGGACCCCTTCCACTGGAGCAGCTTGCTCCAAGCCCCTGTGTCCAACCTGGCCTTGAGCACTGCCAGGGATGGGGCAGCCACAGCTTCTCTGGGCACCCTGTGCCAGCGCCTCAGCACCCTCACAGGGAAGAGTCTCTGCTTAAGAGCTCATCTCAATCTCCCCTGTTTGAGTTTGAACTCATTCCCCCTTGTCCTATGACTACAGTCTGTGACGAAGAGTCCCTCTCCAGCATCCTTGTAGGCCGCTTCAGACACTGGAAGCTGCTCTGAGGTCTCCACGCAGCTTCTTTTCTCCATGCTAAACAGCCCAAACTTTCTTAGCCTGTCTCAGCCTTTATTTTATGAAGAGATAAGCATGCAAGGCTTGGGAAACAGCTATGGCCAGGATTCCCAAATGCAAACATGGTCCAAAATCTGAAATTTAAAAATACCAAGGCTCAGATGTCACAACTGGTCTAACCGTTCTTGCACTACTTTTCAGCATCCCTTGTTCCTTGGAAGAAGAGACCAGAGGTCCCTGGTGTAAGAGTACCAAAGGAAATACTTATACAAAGCCTCAGCGAAGTCTTCAATTCTGGGTATTTTTTGTGGTATCTACTAAAAGTGGAAATTGCTCAAGATCAACAAATAGAAGGGTTGATTATGTCTTTACCAATCTTATGCTGGGAATTACGCAGTCTCAGGTACATACCTGGCATTATCTACAAGTTCAGCAAGGGCACCAAACAAGAACTCATGGGTGGTTCTGCAATGAAACACAGAATCAGCAGGTAACACTGATGCTTAGAAAGAGACCTTTAAATAAATGAGAATCTCAACCACATTTTAAACAAATCCAAGTGTATGTCTACAGCAATGACTGACAGCAGACTAGAAACGACCACTTTGTCACCTGCCAGAGACAGACACAGCAGACAAGCTGCCCCGTGGAGAGGCAGATCCAACAAACTGCTGCTTACTACAGTCTGAAGAACATGGCATGGTAAACAGACAAAATAGAAATTGCTGACCCGATGAACCAGCCTATGAACAAGTCAACAATTCATGTAATTTCGTAACACATTTAATTGCCTTCATGGCAACTAAACACTGCCTGTATGTAAAAGACAGACAGATGAGGGTTATGCGTAAGATCTATCTCCCCAACACAGGTATTCACTTTGTGTAAGTTATTTCTGACAGGCAGAAGCTTCCAGATCCTGGGAGACTTTCAATAGTTGCAACTGGTTCTAATCCATCGAATGACAGTCTTCTGCCACCACTGTACCACACCACGTTCCAAACTCAACAGTAAAATCATCTAGGTGGGTACCATTTCAGCACAATCTCAAAAGCCATGTTAGCTTCCAGCCTCTTAACTGCCACCTTTTACAAGCAGCACCCATTTGAAAACCATCAGTTATGTGCCTCAACCTTGAAAGACACATGGTGAGAAAACCTTAAAGAGCTAATAAAATCATTGTAACACATTGTCTGCCAACATTAATGCAGTATCTTTGCTGAACACCCAACCTGGTGACCTATTTTCAAAACCTAGCAATTATTTCAAATGTAGATGAGCCATGTCAACCCCCATACTAACAGCAGCTATAAAGTCTGGAGGAACAGTTGATGGAATTTGTTGCTCCTCTAGGATGTTTACTGAAAAGACAAGAGTCCTCAGAAACTGCTTTTATCAACGTTTCAGTTTGCATGAAACCTGTTTGACTACCGCAGAAAAAGGACAACAGGTGACCAAAAAAATAAAGGGATACATATTTGTATTTTCAGCTTTCAGAGAACAAATGCATAGATACTTCCCACATATAAAACATAGCTGTCCATAACACCAAAAGTCACAAAATGAACTTGGATATCCATCTTCAATGTCATGACAGCTAACCAATCAACACAGCTTGAGTCAGAGGTAAAACACAGCCACTTTCGAAGTTATCACCAGAACCATTAAATGGTTCTCTTCCATCTCTGCAAGCTCCCAATTGCCTACACAGAAACAGGAGACAGAAGGGAACAGTGTTTTGAAGACTATCTTCCAAATCAGAAAGCTTCCACAGAAGCTCATCCCTTGTATTCTTTCCTTCGAGCAGGATTTTCTGTTGTCCTGGATTCTCCTGGGATGGAGTTTTCTTCCCTGCAGCCAATGCTCAGGGCTGTGTTTTGGGTTTAGTCTGAGAACAATGCTGATAACACACCAATGGTTTAGTTGTTGCTAAGTAATCCTTACCCTGACCAAAGACTTCTCAGTCTCTCATGCTCTGCAAGTGACGAAGGGCACAAGAAGCTGGGAGGAAGCAGAGATAGGACACCTGACCCAAACTAGCCAAAGGGATATTCCATACCACAGCACGTCATGCCCAGTATAGAAACTGCGGGGAGTAGGCTGGATGGGGTCAACTGCTTCTCAGTCTGGCTGGGTACTGGTCAGTGGGTGGTGAGCAATTGTACTGTGCACCACTTGTCATTCTTGGGTTTTAGTCTCCTCTTCCTGTTATCCCCTTTCTCTTGTTCACCATCATCATCATTACATGATTATTATTATTATATTTTACTTTATTTCAGTTCTTAAACTGTTCTTATCTCAACCTATAGGCTTTACCTTTTCCGATTCTCCTTCCCATCCTACCAGGTGATAGAAGGAATTAGCAAGCGCCTGCCTAGTACTTAGTTGCCAGCTGGGGTTTTAAGTGCTCCCTCGAGTTTATAAACACAGATTCAGTTTCACGAATCAACATACCAGAAGTTTGTTTAGGAAGTAGCCCCTGCCAGGAAAAGCCCATCAGCAAATGGATGCTTTAGCACTAGTCACCATGACTCTTTAGGTGCTTTTACTCTACAATTTAAAAAATGCTTCAAACTAAGGAAAAGATGCGAATAAGGTACAAATTGGGATTTCCAAAAACAAATATTTTGGAACAGTATTTTTGGAAAAATTGGAAAAATATGAAAACATTGCACTAAATTATATGAGAGGCAAGAGAAAACATTATTCCCACACAATACTCAATTTGAACATCTACCAAAACTGGAACCTCGTGTGCTGACAGAGGCAAAGTGAAACGTTGGTACAAACAAGTGAAATTCTCTCCAGCTAACAAAAAATTTAGATACACTATAAATATCTTCTATATAGTATATTGATCGCAACACTTACGTTTGTCTTGTCAATACCTAATTAAAGTCGTATGAAGTGACTCAGCTTTACCAAAAGCCACCAACTTGTCTTATGGTCAAAAGTGCCTGAAATACTTAACGTCTAAGTTATCAAATGGTGACAATTTTTCCCCCTATCTCCCAAAACCTTGGGATTATTTTACTTGAAATGTAAGTTTAAAAAAACATGAGATAAGCTGTTGGCAAAATTGAGTCTATCAGAGCTTTCACGTGACCTGGAAACACTCAAGTGTGAGCTAGGTGGGCCTCATGAGAAGCATTAGTAACATCCATGAGTCAGAGAACTAAATCTATTTCAGGTCACACAACTGTGCTGTTGAATGACACACGGAAGTGGGGGAGAGTGTTATCAACATCTGTAGTCTCAGCAACAACTCATCGTGGCAGAAACAAACTAGCTTGGACTTCCCTACAACTTCCAGTTTTCATTCAAGACAGCTCCATGCAGGAGTGCAGGCTTGACAAGAAATGCAATGGGAAGTCCAATGCTGACGATTTATTGAAATGCTGGTTACAGAAGGCCAAGTCAGATGACTCTGTAGAACACGACAAATTTCAAACACCTCTACAACTGTTTATCCTAGCATCCTAAGGGAAGAAAAGCTTAAAAGGGTCACCTGTTTAAGCCCAGCTGGACCCCTAAGCCTGCAGAGTCAGGCAAGTACTAATGAGAGATGTAAGACTTCGTTTTTGTTCTGAAAAGAGGCCACATCCAGGAGAACATTTAAGTTCGGCATCTTCATCAGGACCAAGAACTATTCTCTCAGTACTGCACTACATTTCAGGCCAGAACAGAAAACAATGCACAGGAAGGAAGTGACAGAGCTTGGGGAATGGGAGAATGTTGGTCTGTTATTAGTAATATTCATCAAGAGCAATATGTAGTCATTTTGAAGTCTTTCTATCTGAGTTACTTTCTTCCACTCAAGCTGTATTCAACAGGACAATTCTAGTTACAGGAAAAAAAATCATCCTTGAAGTTCAATTACAAGCTAAACCCTACATACTCTCAGAAGACAATTTCAGTTGTTCAACTTTTAACAAACTCCATCATTTCTGCACTGCAGATATTAAAAATATGCAAACCAAAGTTGCCTGGGCTCAGGTGCGTTTCTGTGATTACCTTAATGAATGGCATTGGAAATACCTTAAAAGAATTTACTTTTAAGGAAAAGTAATGTGAACCCAAGCAGGTGGCTTGCCTCATAAAAAAAAATGCATGGGCAATTTCCACATTTGCACACGTGGTTTTCATTCTAGGATCTAAAAGAATATTCACATAGAAGAATCACAGAACAGTTTGGGTTGGAAGATCATCTAGTCCAAACCCCCCTGAACTGAGCAGAGACATCTTCCAGTATGATCAGACTGCTCAGAGCCCTGTCCAACTTGACCCTGGATGTTTCCAGGGACAGGGCACCTACCACCTCTCTGGGTAAACTGTGCTAGTGCTTTACCACCCTCGTCGTTAAAACATTTCTTCCTTATACCTAGCCTAAATCTCCCTTTTTCATTTTAAAACTATCACCCCTTGTCCTGTCACTACAGGCACTACTAAAAGTCTGTCCCTACTCACTTATTTCTCAAGAAAAGTGCTTGGAAAAGCACAGCTGTGTTCACATTAAGAAAAAAAAAAAAAGGTACGGCAATTGAAGTGATTCAGATGCATGCTGTTAAATTTGCAATCAGACACGTAAGCATTAAGCAGCTACTCCAAAGATCTGCTGCAAGTGCTCAAGTTCAGAAGCAAGATAAACTGGCTTCTGTAAAGCACTTCAGACTGAGAATTCCGCGTTAGACACACTAAAACTTTTCCTAAAGGAAGTCTTACAAGGAGAAAGAGAAGTCATGGCTTCCTTCTGCACCTCAACAGCCACATGGCTGATTTTTAACTACAATTTAAGGAACTGCTACCTCCATGACTATAAGAACACCTTTAGCACTGAAATGATTTTTTTTCTGAGATGGTATGGCTTTCCTAGCAAGAGAGAGCAGTCCAAAAGACGGGAGTCTCCATAATCAAAAGCCCTATGCTGCTCATAGGTTGGTTTTGCATGGTTTGTGGGTTTTTGCTCTTTCTTTTTCTTGAGGGAGTGGGGGGCGTGTTTATTTGTCATGGGTTGGTTTGAGTGGTTTGGGTTTTTTTTGCTTTTATAATGACTCAAGATTTTCCACTCTAATTCTTAGTGAAGAATTTGTCTTATGCTTATTCCCATATCTGAAGAGGCTCTTCACTCATGATGGACCAAAAGCCCTGGCTCTGGCTTGTTCATACTCATCAGTTTCCACCTCCTCCTAACAATTTGGTAATGTAGTTATATAATGCAGACATGTGGCACACTGGAAAGAGACCAGCAGCATAAGCAGAACAGGAAGTATGGTGGCAACATGAAGTAGCTTTAGTATTTAGTACTTAGGGGCAGCAATACATCAGCTTCTTCTGCAACACCAATGTTAACTTCTTATGAAGATAAACAGCTTTCTGGTGTTCTGCAGGCAAACACAAGCTGCTGACAGAGCTCTGCCATATGGTCTTGTCCATTGTCTTCAGGGACCAGACTGTTCACTGCACATGTAACCACTACCAGTCAACCCAGAGAACAAAGCCACAGGACATGGATCCAAGGGTGACACAAGGCTGTTACTAGGTTTCTTCTCCTGTGCAAAAACCATTATCTTCCTGATTCTGAAAAGAAACAGATCATAATGCTCTTGGTATAGGAGATTCATCTTAGTTGCTCTTGCAGATGTATCCTGAGTTACCAACAAAACCTACTTTGCAATGAAGCTGATAGTAAATCAGAAGTCTTCAGACTGCTGCAGACCACTGTGGTCCTCCATTCTAAGCTTACATTCACACAAAGGAAATGAATAGTTAAGCCTGCACTTTATTTCTTCTTCTATTGATGGTAGCAGTAAGAGTCAACTCTTCCACAAATTGTTAGAAGACAACCTTACGCTGGTGATCAGCTGATCAATATGAGGAAATGCCAAGTGTGGTTTCCACACTGCTCTTCCAAGGCAGTTCAGCCAAAACAAGCTCTCTTTAAACTCTTCTGTATGTGGCACTACAAAACTTAGGTGCAACAGGAAGGTCTCCGATGAGTGCTTAACCCTGGTAAACACCATTTCCTGGCAGTGTTTGCCATTTTCGAGAAAGGCACTCTGATGTAACCCCCTTTGAAAAAGAACTTTGTCTCTTCTCGTAAGATTTTAGTTTGGAGGATTCATCAGCGACATGAAAAAGCCACAGCAGCTTCAAAAAAACTGATCACAAGAAGAACGTCATATTCCTGCTTGAAATACACCTGCACAAAATATTCGGGCACGAATGGAATGTGCTGCTGGAGAGCTGGCAGCGCCTGCACTGCAAGGGCACGTCCATGGGACTACGGCTGCCCTCGAGGCGGCACCCGTGAACCCCCAGCGCTCTGTGCTCTCCAGCCACTGTTTCTCCCTAGATCCGCAGGCCCGCCAGCCGTGCGCGGCAGCGGAGCCGGTAACAGCCCGCGAGGCGCCCGGGACGAGCGGGAAGAAGGGCGGGCAGCGCGGTGCTGCAGGGCCTCGGCCGGGCGCCCCCGTAATCACGCACAGGCACGGGCACCGGGAGAGGGGCGGGCAGCGCGGCCCCAAGCCCCGCCCCACGGCGGCCCTGCCCGGCGGCCGCGGCCCGCCCCGGTACTCACGAGTTGGTGTGCAGGTACTCGAAGGTGAGCTGCGCCCGGTTCAGGCTGCTGTAATTAGCCAAGGCCATTGCGGCGGCGGCCGGGCCGCGTGCGCCTCGAGGCCTCCCCGCCCGCCACCCCCCGCCGCCGGTCACTGCCCCGCCGGACGGCCAGCACCGCACCGCAAGGGGGGGCGGGGCCCCCGCCGTGCCGTGCCGTGCCTGCTGCCTGACGGCGGCTGCTACTGCTGCTGCTCCGGGGCGCCGCGCCCCGCCCGGCCCCACTTTGTCTCCGCCGCGACGAGAATCACAGTCGCGCCCCGCCGCCGCCGCCGCCGCCTCCTCCTCCCTCCTCAGCCGCCCCCGCGCGGAGGGGCGGGGCCGAGGCGCTCACTGCCCATTGGTCGGGCCGCGGCACGTGATGAGAGAGTCATGGCGCGGGCCGCCGCGGCTTCTCTTCCGCCGCGTGACGGGTGCGCGCGGGCTGGCGCGTGGCGGGAGGGCGTGGGTGAGCGCGCGCTCGTGCGGCCCGGCCGGGCCCCGCGGCGGGAGCTGCTCCGCTCCGCTCCGCTCCGCTCCGCTCCGCTCCGCTCCGCTCCTCTCC